TATATATATATATAACGGAGGATGCGCTACTTAGGACATGTAATTATATTTGGAGGTAGGTTGGTAGAGAACCTGATAGATCGGGTATTTGCGTGCCACACGCTTGGTATTGCTGGCGCACAAAAATATAACTTATAAAAAGGAAACAAAGAAGCATTAAATAATTTTAAATTTTATAAAGAAAAGTAGGGATCGATGTGTAAGTAACCTAGCTAGCTATAGTAATGTAGAAAGTTTTAATGCTACAGAAAGTATTGAAACATGTGACGGATTTATTATAATATATATATTTTGATATCGATGTTTGTTTAAATTAAATTTATATTTAGAAATGTAAATAACGTATACTGTTAAATATGTATTGCGAAACTCCCGTCTATTCTCTAAAGCTGTAGAAGATTCTTGAGTGTAAGAATCAATAATATATATGTGTATGTATACGCCACTGTAGCTTTGTATTGTTACGTAATCTGAATTTTCGAGAAACTCTCCACACGCCTATAAATATAACCAACGAGACGCGCCTAAAAATAGTATCTATTATTGGTTTGCTATAGTTGGTGTGCTATAAACTTTAGAAGCTATAACTGTGATTGTTATAACGCTAATTAATCGGGAACTTAAGATATTTGATCAGGAACGTTTATAAATTTCGAATATTACAAATCATTTAACTTCAGTGGATTCACATCGGACATTAGTACTTTTACGAAAACATTACATACCGTCATCGGTGGAAACTCGACCTGTAATTGGCATGTGATCAGCGAGAACAACAGGGCTAGTTAGCTCCCTGTTAAGTGAATTATACTTACGTTAACTTGAAATTAATTCGCTCATCGTCTACCCTCGATAAGATATCAAATAAGTTCCAGACTAGTAAGAAGACTTTATATTGCTTGTAAGTCTGTGAAACTTTTGTACATAAATAATTGTTCGTAATAACTGTTATTGTAAATTGTGTTGTTGTTTGTATATTAAAACATATTTGTATTAAGAAAGAAAACTGTGTGTATCAATCTTGTTGGTAAATATCATAAATTGGAGACATATCGGCATTTATTTAACTACTGAATTTATATTATCATTTAGCTAGATTTCAGACCATTCGAGATTGTAATACGTAACACGCTCCATACATACATACAAACTGACAATCATATAGTTTCATATATCTTGATATTATTTTTTAGTCATTTAAAATTCCTTTTTTTTAAGTACGACCGACTCATAATGTCAAATCCCAACATAGATAAGGACGTAACAAATAAGTAATTGCTTACCTGATGTGTCCCAGACTGTGAAATGTATTATATAATCTCCAACCTCGTAATTTGTGGTGTAGCGTTCGAATCCAGTTGGAGTATACAACTGAAACGAGACACACAATGGCAATCATACTTTGATACCGACAGACATCATGATACTGACAGTTCAGGAATAAATATTCTAATATGTAAAGCGATGGTGTTACATTGACAGGTAGCCATTTTAAGCACAAAGACATATATTGCTACAAACAACACACACATATATACACTTTACTAGCAATACTTAATAGTATATATTTAATTAACAATGGTGTGTTGAGATGTTTAAGAAGTAACAGTTTATTTGTGTTGTGATTATTATCAAACAAGCGACTAAATTTGTCTCAGAAACAGATTGTTATCTAATGTTTGCACCAGCTAATATATCATTAGTATTATCTGTCAACCTGTTTGGCCGAAAGGATAGTAAAACATTAATAGGCCAGATTAATAACTAGAACACTTGTTTCAACATTTAAAAATAGGCTCATACATGAAATGATCTTATGTGTATTTAAGCCAAATCTTATATAATTCACGCTGTTTTATAGTGCTACATTTTCTGTATCGAGATGATAAATTACAGGAAAGATCTGACTCAGAGCAAAGTAGCAGTTTGCTGTTAAACCTTCGTTATCTGTTCTCTATATATATAGAAATTAATATTCAGTTCTCTAATCAGTTTTTCACTAATCCAAAATAATATGTAAAGTATTTTTGGTTGTTTGTTACTCACCACACTGATCCTTTATTTGTAAAGGATTCGAAGAATATGTAGCAGTGATGTAAGTAATTTATTCCTCCGAATTATTCACCAGACTAGCTGTTTAAGACACTATATATATAAAGCCCAATCTATCATCCAATTCACCACTTACCACTGACTTAGATACGATTCTTTATTATTTTTTTATTTTATTTGGCTTTGTCCAGGACTACTGATGAGGGGTGGAATTTCCCGAAACCGGGTTAGGCAAGTGATAAGTAGTGAATTGAGTGGTAGCTAAGGCTTCATATTTATGTTTTTAATTTAGAATAATGTTTACTGGAGTTAAAAAAATCTTCTGTTAAGCAGCATGTTTCGTTTATGCATTTCACTATTCCACGTTTCTTTTTAACGCACTGTATTTGAATAAACAGTTGCAACGTAAGAGGTTCCTTTTTGGAACAATAATCTATATCGTACAGTAAAGTCATAAGACGCTGTTTACTTGAACAACCGCCTCCATCTTATGATAAACGTTTCCATCATATGGCGCTACGTATCTGAGGAAATATTTTCGGCGTATAATAAACGTTTCTTTTATAAGGCGTTAGTTATCCGAACAGCCATCTCCTATGTGTGGCGTTGCGCCTGCAATAAACATTCTTGTTCAACATCTATCTTCATTACTCACGCTCAAAGACTTCTGGATGTCGACATATATTGCTTGAAGATCAATAATATATATATATATATATATTTATCAATACTCTAGTTTCTTGACTTCGTTTTATTTGGAAATACATCCTGCGGTTGATGAAGGAACTCATATAAAATAAATAATAATAATTGTATTTCATCGACTCTAACTGAATAAACTTTAAATTTTGGAGTATAAATTTCGACTGTTACATAAAGTTTACCGTGTTGTTGTTTTAACACAAACCTCCATAATGCTATACACACACTGTCTACAGCAGGGAATCGACCACGGATATTAAAGTGAACTCTCAGCTCATCTACCGAGGGGGGGGGGGGACAAGTTTGTTGTGAAAGGAAGGTGAAAGTACGTGTTTCGTATAAATGGATTAATAAGTATACAGAGGTAGTTTAACTTGTTACAATGAAGGGGGCTTAATGTGTGGAGGTGTGGGAGCTGGCAGGTGAAAAGAATTTATGCAATACATCAAGGCAGACACGACTGCATGCAACTCGGTACGGTGTCTAATGCATGTTCCTAACTGTTTACGTCACGGATGTTCCTAATTATTTACGTTATGGGATCACAATCTTCCCGGATAAAAACCTGTATATTCTATATTTACTTTCAAGATTAATGTCCAAGATAAACGAGTTAAGAAAGGGAAGAATTTCAGGAATTATTTTAAAAGCCCAAGTTTTCAAAAGATTTTATTTTATATAAAAAAAAGTAATTTATTGTGAGAGCTTAAACAATTAATGCATAGGTGATTTATAAATTTGACTTACAAATTTTTTGTTGTTGTTGTTGGAAAGTATTTCAGTAAAACGTTGCTGAAGTTCTGTAGTGGAAAATATGTCAGGTTTCGTTAGATTTACCCTCAATAAATAAAATTGTATATATCCTCGAAATAGTTAAGATGTTGTATTTCTTTTAAAGATAGAACATGTTAGATCTCATCGAAATAAATATCTGGTGACATAAACAACACCGATCCACTCAGGAACGTGATCTTCTACGATATATCTTAGAACCAATCCAATTAAATTCTACAGTAAGAATTCTATTAACGCCTTGTTGGAATCAAAGATGATTCGTTCACCATTACACGGGAAGTCAATTCGATTTCATGAGGAATCCGCAAGCCTCAAAACACAGCCCTACAGGTCACTTTCACACGTGTTAAAAAAAACTGGGAATTACTGTTGGATTATCTGGACCCACAATCCCGAGGAATACTTCTCATAATATCGTTTCAATGATTGACCAACACAATTTATTATTCCATTTCCTGCAGACCGCACTGATAATGGCCTCGAGGTCTTTCTCTATTATCAGAATTCAGTTAGCAGTAGCTTAATAAAGTACGGACATTAGTGTCCACTTCACATATTGGGCTCCCGTTTCCAACCATTTTTTGTTCAACGACTCTATTCTTCAGATTGATGTAAGCGCTTCAAGAGGGAGAGATATATATTAACTTTTCTTATTATTCAATAGTAGAAATACACATTTTTCATAAAATGTAGCTATAATAAAACGAGTATATATACATACATATCGTGTATGAATTTATACTGTCTGTAAATTCATAAAACATTTTAAGGAAATAAAAGGCCCAGCATGGCCAGGTGGTTAGGGCGCTCGACTCGCAATCTGCGGGTTCGAATCCCTGTCACACCAAACAAGCTCGCCCTTTCAGCCGTGGGGGCGTTATAATGTGACGGTCAATCCCACTATTCGTTGGTAAAAGAGTAGCCCAAGAGTTGGCGGTGGGTGGTGATGACTAGCTGCCTTCTCTCTAGTCTTACACTACTAAATTAGGGACGGCTAGCGCAGATAGTCCTTGTGTAGCTTTGCGCGAAATCCATAACAAACACACAATAGCCAAGAAACAAAATTAAAAAAAGACAATTGCTTTACACAGAAATTACGGCATCTTAATATAAAATCAACAACATTATATGGCTATTTAAAAAAAATTATATTTAGTCATTTCGAAATGACTTACTGTCAGAAAACTGAAAATATTCACATAAGTAACAAATATGCTATTAGTGATTATAGAAATTACAAAAAGTTATATGTTTATTTATAAGAAATACACGACGATGGTGATTTCAAAACATAATAGATATCAAGATGTTGAAAAAAATTAGGTATAACGACTCCTGTTTCCGTTTCATAGGTACCGATATCTCCGTACAGAGCGCACAATACTGTTCATTATCTTTTCTTCATTGTGTTATACTTTTATAGAAGTTGTAACAACGGTTTCTTGTAGTGCGTTTCGGTTGAAGATATACATTAGGAAGCGAACATGCACCATTTAGAGGCTTTTCCTCTAATTTTTCCTTCTTCTTAGAATGTGCTACTTCATGTTTTAAACCTAGAAAGTTTCATGTTTTGTGGAAGTCCAAGCGATTTAATGATGATTCATATCAAAACAAGAAAAGGTTGGTTTTCAAATACAGTTACATCATTGAAATTTAAAAGGAAGTGGAGAACATTTTGTCTATTGATTTGCAACAAAACTTGTTATTTTGCTGTAAGTTACACGAAAAAAGTTTGCCTTCCCAGATAACCATGGGTAGAACTGGAAATAAAAATAAATATATGAGCTGTGAATAAAGTCACAGTAAAGTTAGCAAAGAAGCATGAAAATATATTTTATAATGAACAGCACAGTTGGTAAAGAAGTACAGAAAGTAGCTTTATAATGAATATAGAATAAGAGCAAAGCTGTTAAAGAAGTACAGAAAGATGTTATATAGTGAATAGGATCAGAGCACAGTTCATAAAGATATCCGGGAAGAAGTATTATAGTTAATCAAATCACAGGAAAGTTAGTAAAAAAGCGTGAAAAGATACTTTATAGTGAATAGGATCAGAGCACAGTTGGTAAAGAAGTCAAGAAAGATGTTATATAGTGAATAGGATCAGAGCACAGTTCATAAAGATGTCCGGGAAGAAGTATTATAGTTAATAAAATCACAAGAAAGTTAGTAAAAAAGCGTGAAAAGATACTTTATAGTGAATAGAATCAGAGCACAGTTGGTAAAGAAGTCCAGAAAGATGTTATATAGTGAATAGGATCAGAGCACAGTTCATAAAGAAGTCAGGGAAGAAGTATTATAGTTAATAAAATCACAAGAAAGTCAGTAAAAAAGCATGAAAAGATATTTTATAGTGAATAGGATCACTTCACAGTTGATAAAGAAGTCCGGGAAGAAGTTTTATAGTGAATAGGATAAAAGCAAAACTGGTAAAGAAGTCCGGAAAGAAGTTAGTGAACGAGATCAGAGGAAAGTTCGTAAAGAAGCTTTAATGTTAGCGTGGAAACTTCTTAAACAGTAATTCTGGAGAAAGTTATAACGACAAAATTATATTTAAGTCAAAAATTAAGTTGTCCTTTCAACAACCAGTTAAACAGCCTTTTCATGAACGTTACATTGTGTTTTTCCAACACACGTTCGTCAATTATTCTTATATTTAAGTACACGTAGCTAATATTTTTACCTATCTCTAGTATACACTTCCTTCGTGTTAATTAAAATATTTGAATATAGGCTTTTCAACCATCTATTTTATGAAATCGTCTTACCTCTAGGAAGTTATCTCTAGTAAACCGGTGGATTAGAGCAGTTTTTCCACAGCGACTATCCCCAACTAAAACGATCTTACAGCTGAATTCTTCCATCTGCCTTACAAAGGAGTTTCTGACTATGTGGACGGTTGCACCTAATGAAGATGTATTAATAACAGAGTGATTATGCTAAACAAGTATCTTAGTTAAATATAAAAAAAACGTCTTTTATAAAGCTCATACAAATGAGAACACTATATCTGAGAAGGGTGGTTTGTGTTAGTTTTACAAAGTCGGAAATGTGATGTTTCGAGAGATGCATCGCATTTCCGGCTCTGTGAATCTGCCCTCACACTGTCGGTGCACGATATGTTATTGACATGATTTTGTGTTTGGATATTCGCGCAAGCTAGCTTTCCCAAATTTTGAACTCATGGGCTAGAGGGTAGCCTTGGGTTACTCTAATCGAATAGTGGAATTTGTCGTCAATTTTGTAACGCACCCAAGGTCTCAAGAGTGCAGAATACGATTTTTAAATTTTGTGGCAACGGAAGGCGAACCTTGGACCGTCATACCCAAAAACAGACGCGCTGACTATTAGCCTTCCCTAACCGCTAATACTCTCGGTATTCATAGTGATAACAAAGGAAGTATAGCACTTAAAACGTATTGATAAAAACTACATTATTGTTTATAGGCTATTACTGATAGTTTAAAAAATGAATATACTTATCTATTTTTAAAGTTAATATTCATACATAATTTTACTGGCGTCTCACGGTGAGTCAGCGGTAAGTTTATGGACTTACAACGCAAATATACGGTATTTGATTCCCTGCGGTAGACACAGCAGATAGCCCATGTGGCCTTGCGCTAAAACAAACCGTAAAGAGCAGCATTTCAAAGTTGATTAAAACATAAAGCAAGAATGACTCAGATTCTTATGGAATAATTACATCAAATACGGTGTTGTATATATATATATATAGATAATTTGTTGAATATAAACACTTGATTTTTAAACAGTGAGGGGAAAAAAAAGAGTCGTGAAAACAAATATATAACCGCTCATCGTTTCCTCTTTGCAATATATAATATTACAGCTTAACTGGTTCCAGACTCAAAAGGCGTCTCAGTACCAGAAAATTTTAAATTCTTATCGTTGTACCACGTTCAAGTAATTTGAGGTGCAATTTGCTGAAACAAAAAACAAAATATATCTTTGGAGTTCAAAGTCTGCGTTTCCATTACCATATTATGTCGTTCTTTCCTACTTTATTCTTTTTCTAAACAGTCATTAACGATATTCAAGTTGTGATAACCAAATAAACAGGGATGTTGTAGTTGTGTGCGAGGAATCACCTACAAAAATGAGCTTTAGCTTTTAGAAAATTGGCAAGCAGTAATCGCGGGTCATCGACTGGAAAACGTGTCAGACAGTCGGAAATCTTGTTGCTCACATATTAGGACTGGTGGGTGTACCCATATAAAATTACCTTGTTGTGATCATGGATTTCCGCAATGATGGTAAACACATAAAACTTTCTTGCCACTCAGAAAATGGCAGATATAACAATATTCAGATGTGAGAGGGCTGATACTAATACGACACGACTTGAGGACAACTCTCCTATGTAAAAAGTGCTGGAGGGAGGGTCTTCATAAATTAAACATTCTTTATCATTATGAAACTTGAAAACTGATCAGATTTTGTTTACCCGATTAAGAAGCGCAGTCAGATAGAAAGGGTATGGACATTTTATTTGTTTATTATTTTAATACATAGATTTACACTTTGGTTACACAAGTTCGTTGTACGTTCACTTACAACACAGGTTATTTCTAATTGAATTACATACGCCAATCTGGATATTTTTATAACTTTAAATTTACGATAACGATGTAAACGACGAAACACAAAGTGTCCATTTTGTGCTTGTGTGAGCTTGCTGTTAAAAAATTGTGTTTTAGTACGTTTAATTAGAAATTATACATTATGTTTCCAAAACCACATATAGCCCACTCTTGAAAATGAAAAAAGAAAATTATTAAGTTTTCCATTCATTTCTTTCTCTCTCTGTTTGCGGCTCAGTCGTCCTCCTATTTGCTGTTGGTAAAAGAGTAGCCCAATAGTTGGCTGTGGGTGGTGATGTCTAGTTGCCTTCTCTCTAGTCTTTCATTGCTAAATTAGGCGCGTAATTCAAACCAAACCACTATTTGATTAGGAATGTTATAATAAATATATCCGTCTGTCTTGTTGTATAACAGCAATACTTCCATATTTGGAGATTTAATAACACTGTCTTTGATGGGGTCGATTACTCATCTAACTTTCTCTATGTGCTATGTACGCCTACATAGCACATGGGGTGATTTAATAACACTGTCTTTGATGGGGTCGATTATTCATCTAACTTTCTTTATGTGCTATGTACGCCTACATAGCACATGAGGTGATTTAATAACACTGTCTTTGATGGGGTCGATTACTCATCTAACTTTCTTTATGTGCTATGTACGCCTACATAGCACATGAGGTGATTTAATAACAGAAGCTTCAGTAAAATGTGTGTGAAACTAGTGAAACGAAAAGCATCCATTATTTTATTATTATAAACAACAGTAGTGGTGAATTAAACATATGTACGATCGACAACTTTTTAAACAGTACAACTAAAGGTAAGAATACGTTTACAAATAATAACACAGGATAAAATTAATTTGTTACAAATCGATAAAGCTTTTGCTACAACCACCTTCGCAGACTTTGAAAACGAGGCTCGTGCCTGAGAATGATCAGAGAGAAAAATATTGATTACAAGTCGGTATGACATTCCCTGTATATAAGCCATAAAGTTACTATATATTTAGTTGTCATCCTTAATCCCGACATTCAGCTTTCCAACGATATTTTTAAGCGAACACGTGTTTCTGCATCATCTTATTCTCACTCACATTATATATAGTTTTAAAAAAGTATGGAGTTAAGATCAATATCTTCGGACAGATTAAACTAAACATTACAAAAAACTAGGATTTTAACACGGAGTTTGACCTCCTCAAATTTATCTACATCAAGCCAGTCTCATGTACCGAATTTAACAGAAAATGAAAGGTTATTGACTTATTACGGCACTCTACCATTAAAAGCATTTGATAATGTGATACATTATAAATTATCTGTCCCCCCTCTGTATATACGTATGACTGTAATGAATGTCAAAACATAGGCAAAATTATTAGTCCTGGGTGAAAATCTAGTTCTATTCTTTCAATTATTAAAATAAAGATTTTCCTCCTGTCACTCATATACAGGATGGGGCATGGCGAAGACCCCAGTAAAGTTTTTAATAACGTTATATTTCATGTGGGGGTATTTACACGGTCAAGTGTGAATCTCTGAACATTTGTAAGGCTACATTGATTTAATGATCATACAAATACGGCTTTCTCATAAACAAAGGTTTTGTAGTTCCACTTGTAGTTTCGTTTTTCATTTTTGGAGAGGAGGGTAGGCTATGATTCACCCTGTATATTACTCGTATCTTGTCAGATTTTTTCCTTGTCTTATATGAGCTCAGTATATAAAGTGGGAAATTAGAACAATAAGTATAATGTAAAATTGCACTGAGATAAGGGATATAGAGCAGAATTTTGGAATTAGCTAATTCGTATTGTACACAGGCGCTTCGATGAAGTAAGCTCATTGCTGTAGCTGTTCACGTTATAGTTTGTATATATAGATTTTAGTATTTTCACAAGTAAATCACATTTTATACAATATCCAGTCGCATAAAGATTAAGTTTAACAAGGTTAACAAGAGGAATTGCTCAGTTTTAGGTATTTGTTTTCCTACTTTGTATTCATCTTTCAACGTGAGCATCTTCATAAACCAACTTCTGTACTCACTATCACGTTGTTTACCATAATATGAGGTGCGATAAATATATATATATAAAGTTACTGTTTTAAGAGGGCACTGGCTATCTTTTTACAAAAGCTAATGTTTCTGTTAAAGCGTGAAGATCCGCTTTTTGTCATATTTCATAATATCCAAACCCTTTATTTGCATACTTTAATTACCGAAAAATGTTAAAAGTTCAAGGTATCTGTGTAAAGAACTAATTAAAATAAAAACGATCGACGTGTTGAAATTGGGTATTTAAAAACGATAATCATTTAACTTTTATTAACTAGTAAACAAATCTACATCGATTTTATGCACACCTTATATTTCAACCAATGAAATTGGGTATTTAAAAACGATAATCATTTAACTTTTATTAACTAGTAAACAAATCTACATCGATTTTATGCACACCTTATATTTCAACCAATGAAATTGGACTTTGCCTAATAGAGACAAGTACATGAAAAGATATTACAACTTGGATTATACAATGAAACTGAGACAATTTTAAAGTTATGAAACCAATATTGTTTTGTCAGATTGCTAACTAAATGTTTATGAGGCTCATACTGAATTAATATTAGCAAGACACCACTGAGTCATGATGATGGAATACAGATGTGTCGTATGCCATGTGAAGTGTAATCTTAAATGAAGGTGCACATCAAGAACAGGTAATGGCGAACTAAGCAAATGCCTTCGAAAAGAAAGGAAAACTTCTATCAAATATGGTATCATTTGTAACAAGTGCCATCAAGAGGACTGTTGTTCCAAACTCCGCGCTTTTGATGATATCAACTAGATGACGGAGAAACCGAAAGAAGAGAAATGATCCAAGCTACGATCCTCCTCCACATTTCACATCCTACATCAAATCAAGCTGTGCAAGCTTTAAGCATTTAAGTGTGAACATTAGACCAACGGAAAAAGTCATGTCAAGTGTTCCTAAAATGTATTCAGCTGACTGTTGGAACCACTTGAAACACTAAACCAAGTATTTGTTATACACGGTATTGTTATTCCGAATGGAGTTCTATGATGTTAATGCAGTTTATACCCGACTGCTACGTGATAGATGTAAATATAATGTAATAGATGTGATTGATCTTTTTGAGACCAGTGCAGTAATAAAAGGATAAGTCTCACAAGCCAACTGTTAACGTGAATCAACTGTCGATATCTTATCTGAATAGCCTGTCTGTGTAAGATCTGTCGATATCTTATCTGAATAGCCTGTCTGTGTA